CATCATCATCATCAGCATCATCATCATCATTATCATCATCAGCATCAGCATCAGCATCAGCATCATCGCCATCATCATCATCATCGGCATCAGCATCATCATCAGCATCAGCATCATCATCATTATTATCATCATCATCATCATCATCATCATCATCATCATCATCGTCATCAGCATCATCATCATCAGCATCATCATCATCCTCATCATCATCAGCATCATCATCATCATCATCATCATCATCATCATCATCATCATCATCGTCATCATCATCATCATCATCATCATCATCATCATCATCATCATCATCATCATCATCATCATCATCATCATCATCATCATCATCATCATCATCATCATCCCCCGCACGGTCTTCCACGCCGTCCCCCCCCCCCCAACAACTCGGCCTTGGAGGTCGCGGCAACGGCGCCCGCCGCGGGCCTGGCCGCCGAGCTCGCTTCGGGCGCCGCCTCGCGCTGCCTCGCCTGTCCCAGGGAGGCCCTCGTCGTCGTCGTCGTCGTCGCCTTCCACCTCTCTCCTCGTCCCCGCTTCCCCCCCCCCCCCCCTCCTCCTCCTCCTCCTCCTCCTCCTCCTCCTCCTCCTCCTCCTCGTTTTCTTCTTCTTATTCTTCTTCTTCCTCCTCTCCTCCTCCTCCTCCTCCTCCTCCTCATCCTCCGCCTCCTCCTCCTCCTCCTCCTCTTCCTCCTCCTCCTCCTCCTCTCCTCCTCCTCCCCCTCCTCCTCCTCTGCTCCTCCTCCTCTTCCTCCTCCTCCTCCTCCTCCTCCTCCCCCTCCTCCTCCTCTTATTAATATGAGTAGTAATCATATGACTCGTATACTTCGTCTGATTATTCGTATTCGCATTATTCTTCTTAGACTTAGTAGTATCAGTACTCGTATTACTCTTCTTATTAGTATATGATCGTCCGTTGTATCGTTAGTATTGTTAGCCGTCTTGATAGTATTCGCACTAATATTAGTATTAATAGTGTTCGTCTTCGTGCTATGATTAGTAGTATCAGTATGCGTCGTAGTGCTGGTTCTTCGTACTCTTCGCGTTAGTAGCATAAGTGCTAGTGTTAGTTTTATGTGTCTTACTGATATAAATCGCAGTATTGCTAGCAGGCGTAGTAGCATTAGTACCAAGATTCTTCGTAGCATTCATAGTAGTGTTACGTGTTCTTCTTCATCTGAATAGTGGTATCCATCATACCCGTGAGAAATATTATGTGTGCAATATGAGTCTTACTACACTACGCGTAATACTGTTCTGCGTATCCGTATGGGTATTATCAGTGGTCGTATTATCAGTCGTGTTATTAGTGCCAGTGTTAGTATTAGTATGCTAAGCTTGCGTGGTCACAATACCCTTCTTAGTATTGCCCGTATCGTCAGTGCTCTTATGATTAGTAGTATCATTATTCGCGTTCGGTTTCGTAGTATCCCTCCGTTGTTAGTCGTATGCATCGTATTAGTCTTAGTAGCAATGGTAGAAGTATCATTAGTATTATTGCTATGATCAGTCTTGTGAGTATGCTTATAGATTGATTCCGCCTCCTCCCCAGCATCCTCATCATCATCAGCATCAGCATCAGCATCAGCATCATCATCAGCATCATCAGCATCATCATCATCCTCATCATCATGATTATCGTCCTCACCCCGCATCGTCATCGTCCTCCTCGTCCTCCTCCTCCTCCTCCTCCTCGTCCCCCTCCCCCTCCTCCTCTTCCTGCGCCTGCTCCTCCTCCTTCTCCTCCTCATCCTCATCCTCCCCTTCTCCCCCCCCCCCCCTCCACAACCACCACAACCACAACTACCTCCACCACCACCACAACCAACAACAACAACAACTCCACCTCCACTTCCACATCCACTCAGCATCATCACTATTATTATCGTCATCATCATCATCATCAGCAGCAGCATCATCAGCATCAGCAGCATCATCATCATCAGTATCATCAGCATCACCATCATCCATCATAATCAGCAGCATCAGCATCAGCAGCAGCATCATCATCAGCATCACCACCACCACCATCATCAGCAGCAGCATAACCATCATAAGCATCATCATCATCATCAGCAGCAGCAGCATCAGCATCATCATCAGCATCACCATCATCACCATTATCATCAACGTCAGCATCAGCATCCAACATCATCGTCATCAGCATCAGCAGCCTCAGCATCATCATCATCCTCGTGATCACCAGCATCATCATCATCAGCATCACCACCACCATCCGCATCCTCATCATCACCATCACCATCATCAACAGCATCATCAGCATCAACATCATCATCCTTATCATCATCCGCAACATTATCATCATCTGCATCATCAGAATCGTCGTCATCAGCATCATCACCAACATCGGCATCCTCATAATCATGATCATCATCATGATCAGCCTCATCATCATCATCATCATCATCATCATCAGCATCATCATCATCATCATCAGCATCAGCATCAACATCCTCATCCTCATCATCATCAGCATCATCATCATTATCAGCATCATCCACCTCCTCCTCCTCCTCATCATCCTCAACCTCCTCCTCCTCCTTAGCCTGCGCCTCCGCCTCCGCTTCCGCCTCCTCCTCCATCCTCCCTCATCATCCCCCTCCTCCTCCTCCTCCTCCTCCCCATGCTGCCCCGGCCCGCCCCCTCCCGCCCCTCCTTCCCCCCCCCATCGTCCCCCATCCTCCCCCTCCTCCTCCTCGTCCCCCTCCTCCCCCTCCATCCTTTACTCCCCCTCCTCCCTCTCCTCCCATTCCTCCCCCTCCTCCCTCTCCTCCTCCTCCTCCTCCTCCTCCTCCTCCTCCTCCTCCTCCTCCTCCCCCCCGCGCTTCGTCCAGCCTCCTCCGCCTCCTCGTCCTCCTTCTCCTTCTCTACCTCCACCTCCTCCTCATCCTCGCTCACCTCTTCTTCTCAGCATTACTGCTAAGTAAAATTAGCATTGGAGCGATTATGTTGTATTAGTCTTACCCGTAGCATTAGTATGATTACACATATGTTTAGTAGTAGTAGTAGTAGTAGTAGTAGTAGTAGTAGTAGCAATATTAGAAATATGCTTAGTCGCATGAGTAGTCTCCTCAATATGACTGGTATGATTATTCATAGAAGTACTGATGATGTCCTGTCGTTAATGCCATTACCAGTATTGCTAGATAGTTTTCGCCATCTTTGTATTATCCTTCTTAGCGTTACCAACAGTAATGGCAGTCTTCTTTTCCTACTTGCAAATTCATAGTACCCCTTTCATTGACAGCATTCTTAGTATTAACCTTCATGCGTATCATTCGCATTCGTAACCTTATACCTAGTCCTGGTAGTAACGCTAGCGTCAACCTTACAAGTCTTCAGATTCGTACTATTCCTGTTCGTCTTATTGTTCATAGTACGTTTATTAAGAAGAGTGGCCTTATCCGCCGTCTTCTTCTTTTTCTTGCTTTACTCCTACATGTTGTTATTAGCTGTCTGCGTAATGTTGTTGTCAATATTGTTATTGCGACTGGAATTATTACTAGTATTACGACTCCCACTACGACGATGATTACTATTACTACTTCTACTACTACTACTACTACTACTACTACTACTACTACTACTACTACGACTACTACTACTACTACTACTACTACTACTACCACTACTGACACTACGACTACGAATACTACGACTGCAACTACTACTAATATTACTACTACTACTACTACTACTACTACTACTACTACTACTACTACTACTACTACTACTACTGCTACGTCTACTTCTACTACTACTACTACTACTACTACTACTACTACTACTACGACTACGACTACTACTACGACTACTACTACGGCTACTACAAGTAACATTACTACTACTGCTACTACTACTACTACTGCTACTACTACCACTACTACTACTACCACTACTACTACTACTACTAGTACTACTACTACTACTACTACTACCACTACTACGACTACTACTACTACTACTACTACTACTACTACTACTACTATTTTTACTATTACTACTACTACTACTACTACTACTACTACGACTACTGCTACTACTACGACTATTAGTACTTGTAATACTACTACTACTACTACTACTACTACTACTACTACTACTACTACTACTACTACTGCTACTACTACTACTGCTACTACTACTACTAATAATAATAATACTACTACGTCGACGACTACTACTACTACTACCACTACTACTACTACTACGGCTACTACTACTACTACTACTGCTCCTACTACTACTACATCTTCTTCTACCACTACTACTACTACTACTCCAACTGCTACGACGACGACGACTACTACTACTACTACTACTACTACTACTACTACTACCACTAGTGCTACTACTACTACTACTACTACTACTACTACTACTACTACTACTACTACTACTGCTACTACTACTACTAACTACTACTGCTGCTGCTACTACTATTCCTACTACTACTACTACTACTACTACTACTACCACTACTGCTGCTGTTGCTACTACTACTACTAGTACTACGACGACGACGACTACTACTTCTACTACTAGTACTACTACCACTACTACTCGTATTCTCAGTATGGTTACACTTGTTGATCGTCTTATCATTCCACATAGTCTTAGTATTATTTGGATGCTTCTGCTTCGTAGTATCAATATTCTGATTCGTCGTATTATTAGTAATAGTACGACTATTTTAGAACAGTGGGTACTGCTACTAGTATTATTCATACTAATACTATGCGCCTTCAAGTTCTGGTCTTCGTCTTCTTACACGTCCATTCAATAACATTATGGTTCTGACGTGGCCGCCTTCGTTTTAGTCTTCTGCTTTTGATTATCAGTATTATTGTTGTTCTTATTATTCGCATTCTTCGTCTTATGCTTATTGATAATAATATGATTCCTCCTCGTCCTCCTCATCCTCCTGCACCTGCTCCTCCTCCTTCTCCTACCTCTCCGCCTCCACATCCGCCCCCGCCTCACCGTCATCATCATCATCATCATCATCATCATCATCATCATCATCATCATCAGCATCATCATCATCATCATCATCATCATCATCATCATCGTCGTCGTCGTCGTCGTCATCATCATCATCGTCGTGATGAGCATCAGCATCATCATCATCAGCATCATCAGCATCATCACCATCAGCATGATCGGCGTCATCATCATCATCATCATCATCATCATCGTCGTCATCAGCATCAACATCATTACCATCAGCAGCATCATCAGAATCATCATCAGCATCAGCATCACCATCATCAGCATCATCAGCATCATAATCAGCATCAGAATCAGCATCATAATCATCAGCATCATCGTCATCATTATCAGCATCATCGTCATCGTCATCATCATCACCATCATCGTCGTCATCATCATCGTCAGCATCATCATCATCAGCATCATCATCAGCATCATCATCGCCAGCGTCACCATCGCCCTAAGAATCGTCATCAGAATCATCTGCATCGTTATGATGATGATCATCATCATCAGCAGCAGCACCATCATCATCGTCGTCATTTCCAACGTCGTCATCACCTTTGTCGAGGTCCTCGTCGTTGTCGTGGTCCTCGTCATCATCGTCACCGTCGTCGTCGCCGATGTTGTCTCGCCGATGTCGTCGTCACAATCATCGATCGTCCGCCTGAATCATGGATCTACATGATAAGAAAAGTCCTTGCATCACTTCGCCCGTTGCGTTATGCCACGAAGTTGTTGATTGGCGAGTGGGTGAGATATTTGGTCAAGCAGTGGAGCTCGCGACTCCAGGTTCTTCAAAAATAATCGCACCCCATAGACTGCACCCCATAGATTAGAAAACGTAATAAGTTATACCTCGAAGGCTACACCATATTGAACCCCATAGGTTGAACTCCAAAGGTTGCACCAAACTGGTTGCACCACAAAGGTATCACACACCGAGAAGAAAGGAATCAGTGTTTCGGATATCAGCCTCCAGGCCTGCTAACCCACTCTTCCGGAAGACCACACCCTACCACAACCCCTCGCAGTGGGTGGAGCCGCGCATGGCCTGAGTGCACCCGCCGTGCCGAGGAAGCCCAGCTCCAGAGCCACAAAAAATTGACCAAGGGCTCCCAGCTTCGCGCTTCGCGCTGCGCGCTGCGCGAAGCGCGAAGCGCGAATAGCTTCGCGCTCTCGCGCCGCCCCCCAGGGGAGAAGAGGAGGAGGAGGAGGAATCGGAGCCGAAGCGCGAAGCGCGAAGCGCGAAGCGCGAAGCGCGAACAACTTCGCGCCCTCGAGGGCGCCCTCGTTCGAAAAAGGAGGAGGGAGCCGAACCTCCGACGCCCCGACCTCGCCATCGCTCGGACGTCCATTCCCTGTGTTTGTTTCGCTTTCGTGCGTGGTTGTTTCGTCCTCCTCCTCCTCCTCCTCCTCCTGCCTCCCTCCTCCTCCTCCTCCTTCCTCCTCCTCCTCCACCTCCGCCAAGTGATCAAGGATGCTCCTCGATGGTCCTCGCCGAAGGGAACATGCACACGTCCGATCGATGCCGAGCGATTGTCCCTCCCAACGACCGAGCCCCCGAGGTGTAGACCCCCTCCCTGGCACCGGCTGCTCATCCCGGGCCGTATCTCTTCGCGGCCCTGGGGCCGAGCGGAGGCCCCTGGAGTTAGGTCGGGCGTGTCCTCCCACAGGCGGAGTGTAGGCGAAAAATCGGGGGGGGGGGGGGAAACAAAAAATATATATATATATATATACATATGTATACACACACACAAAAACAAAAAACAAAACAACAACACCAAAAAAAAAAATCCGAATCTTTTCCACCATGGTCAAAAAATGCTAGGAACATCGTCCCCATCTTATCTGGTGTGACTACTGTTCCTCCTGCAGAAGGGACACGCCCGACTGAAGAGCGCACCGATCTGCCGTGCCCAGGCCGCCTGCGCGCTCCTCGCGGCAAACAAAAACCTCGTCGCCCGAGGCGGCCTCCCCCCGCGCCTCCCCCTCTCGGGGGCGGCCAGGAGGGGTGTGTCCAAGAGGAGGGGGCGCAGATCACGGCCAGCGGCTCGTGCGCGGCCCAGGGGGGGGCGGCCAGGGGCGTGTCGAAATAGCTGAGAAGAGGCGCCATGAGATCTGGGGTAACGTGGCCCCCGCCACGAGATCCATCCCCCCCCAATCATCACCCCCCCCTCTGCCGCCCCTGACCCTCCGCGGCAACCCTCCTCGTTTCCACTGTCTCTGGCGTGCCACTGCCCGACCGCGCTGGCGCCCACCTTCGCCGCTGACGGCAAAACAAAGATCCCCGAAAGGGCTAGGGGGCCTCCCGAACGAAGTGAACCCCACCCTCCCCCTCAGAAATTGTGGGGGGCAGGGGTAGGGTTCGCATGTGGCCCCCTAAGGGTGGGAACCCAGGCGGGGTTCTCGTTTGGTTGCCCCACCGTCCAGGCCGCCTCTGCACGCCGAGTGCGCGCGCGCGTGCGTGCGTCGGAAGAGAGCTCTTCCGCCGACCCGCCCTCCTGCACGCGAGCGCGCCACGCCTGCGCCGGGCTCGCAGCCCGGCAAGTCGCCCAAGCCTGGTGTCTCTCAGCAACGTTCTCGTGCATCACAAGTCTCCGTGTCCTTTTCTCCAGGCTCGGGAGCGCGAGGAGCTCGACGGAGAGAGGGGGGGGGCAGCCGTCCCCTGCCGCCTGCTTGCGGCCCTTCGCCCCGTCGTCCGCGTCCGACAGGTCGATCTGCGCGGCCGCGGAGGGCTTCTGCTCGTCCGCGGGCAACCGAACGCCGAACGTGAGCAGGTACTCCTCGGGAGGGGGGAAGCCCACGACGGCACGCTCGCGCCAAAGCGACGCCGGCAATGGTCTCTGTCTGAAAAAATCGTCCCCCCCTTCGCCGGAATCGACTGCTCGCCCAGGACCGCTGTCCCCAGGAAGGGCATGAGGCCAGGGTTCTTGTGTAGTATGTGACTGTGCCCGCCTTCGACCTGCGTAGTGCTGGCGAGTTTTTTTTGCCCTCGGCGCATCGATGCAGATCGGGAAAACAGACATGCATGTGAGGCTCAGAGCACCGCAGAGGCCTCCGTGGAAAAGCAGATGCTGATCCACGGTAGGGAACTACATAACAACGGTGGTGATGCTTTCGCTGCCCATTTGGAGCGGTCAGAACAAACCGGAAGAGAATGGGGGACTCCCATGATTAAGCAGCGCCAGGCTGCCTGCTGCCTCAGACACATCTTAGCTCAACACCAGCTTTGTGTGGGGAGGAGTGGCCAGGGCAGCGCGACGAACTGCCTGCACGGCTAAAAAAACAGCGGGCGCGGGCCGCAGAATGCAGGCGGACATGGCGCCCTGCCTGGCGCACCGCAGCTTCACTGTCTCCTGTAGGGCGCTCAGTAGCCGAATGCTCTGGTGGTGGCATCCAAGCACGCCATATAGTCCTCGGGCTTCATCAGCGGATGGTACGCCGGGAAGTTCTCGCCGTCGCACGTGGGCTTCCACTTCTTGTTCTTCTTCTCGGCGGTTGGCCGGTCCGCCTCGCAAGTTCCGTCCAGCTTGGTGCCGAATGCCTCTCCACGGGAAACGCCGTTCGTATCCAAGCAAACCTGCGCAAATAGATCCTCACCCATGGGGCCGTACTTGCCTCCGTCAATGCCCGTTTTCCAATCGACGGTGTCCTTGCACGAGGCCATCGACCCCAGGAGCGTCTCGAAGGCCACCGCCGAGAAGATCTCCAAGCTGCCGAACCACCCGTACTTCACGCCTTTGCAATTCTCGAGGTAGAGGCCGTTGGCCGGGACCACCTTGCTAGAGAGGTAAGACACCAAACGGCTCGGAACGAACACCGCGTCTGGATCGACCTTCACGACCCAGTTGGCGCTCTTGTACACGCCAGCTTCCCCAATTGCCTTCCAAGCCTGGTAATGCAAGCCCGTATTCAGCCAGGTGCCGGTCTCCTCTCTCTTCGCGAAATGGAAATCCCCGTCGGCATCCTCCAGCTTCACGAGCGGAGCGCCGGGCCCGACCTCGCCCTCCTTGTCGCTGAATACCCCCCAATTCTCGCACCCGAAGATGCTGGTCTTCCTGCCGTATGCTCCCCGGAGCAGCTCCAAGTCGTACATCTTCTTCGTGCTGCCGATGTCCTGCATGACCACTGCGAAGCAGTACAATGACGGGCCGTACCAGTCGGCATCCTTGAGGATCGGGTCCATGATCGGCTGTGTCTGAACGCACAGCTGGGAGGCACTGGGAGTGCAATTCTTCAGGCACTTGCCCTTCCCCGGCTTGGTCTCGAAGCAGTTCAGGCCCGCAACGTTGCAGCACCCCAGGCTGTAGCAGTCGTCGTCCGTGCTGGCGCACTTGTCGCGCGGCGGCAGGGCTACCGTCTGCACCTTGCTCTGGAGGCGGTCCGTGTCCGAGGCCGCCCCGTGCAGCGCCAAGCGCGCTGCCCCCGCGCCTGCGCCGGCCAGAAGCAGGGCGGCCACGCCTGCGCCACCCGCCGCCCGCCAGGGCGAACGCCGGGCGCGAGCGTCCTGGACCAAGAACTGCTCCGACCCGCTGGCCTCGCCGCCGACCTCCGCGAGCTCCATGCGCTCCGTGACCGAGGTCATCGGTGGCAGGTTGGGATGTGCCTGGGAGTGCTCGCAGATCAGGCCGGCTGCAGACAGCGCTTGAGCCAAAATGGCTACGGAAGGGCTGGCGAGTTTGTGTTCGAGGAATAACGAGGTCGCGCGGGGCACTCGTGCCAAAACGACGTCGGTGCTGGTCTCTGTCTGAAAAATGTACCTCCTTTTGGGATCGGCGCGGAAGCTGCTAAGGGAATAGGTCGAGTATCCTTTAACCGATCCCCATCCCAAGCGGCGTGGCCTGGCCGATTTACCCCCCTAGATGAGGATACAGGCCGTTCACGTCGGGTTTCGAGGGGTGTATCCCCAACTGGGGTGGTAATTTGGTGGGGGTCTCGAAGGGGATGGGGATGGAGATGGGGATCGGATCAAGGATACTGATAGGTGGGTTATCAGTGGATGCCGAGGTGGGCCATGTCTGGCCGAACCTGGCTTCCTAACTAGGATACAGATGCCCCGAGTGGTTCAGGATGGTAGCGACCCGGGCGAAGTGGGCTCCACCCGCTTGGAGGAGTTGTGGAAACCCCGAAGCCACATGTTGTAACCCACTGATGAGCTAGTTTTGGCCAAACGTTAGAGGCTTGGAAATGGGCACCAACACCAACACGGGGAAGTGCCTCCACCTGGGGAAGATGATCCCAGATTTGGGTGGTGGAAATATTTCGGCCACCTAGGAAGCCCGAGTATTACCACCATGACAGAGATCGGGATCGTCATCCCTCGGTGGAAGCACAACGCCGACATTGGTGTTGGTGTCAACCTATAGGCCTGCGAAAAAGTCACCCACGCTCGCGTCCACTGATAGCCCCCCTAGCCGTTTAGCAGCCCCCGTGGGAAGAACAGAGACACACGGGCACTGCATGTTCTCGCTGGAAGCGCGCGTCCAACCTGGACATACAGCATGACCATTTTGTAGCACCTCGTTTCCCGGGCGGCTTGACCCGAAAGCAGCCGCCACGGAACGCGCACTCTAAAATGTATCGGCGCGCGCACAGCCCAGGGGGTGCGACGCACACACAGCACCGGCACCTTTGGGCCGACGTCGACCCCGCGCCGACCCCAGATCCCCAGAACCAGGCGTTCGTCCCAGACCGCTTAATCGACGTCCCCCCCGAATGGGCTCGCGCGCGGACCATGGGGGGGTGGGGGGCAGGGCAGGGGGCGTGCTGAGAGGAAAGGGGAAGGCCATGAAATCGGAGAGATCTCGCCTGGCCCTGGCCATGACATCCACACACACACACACACACACACACACCCCTAAGCTTCACCACGTCGGAAGGAGGGGGAAGAGGAGGAGCAGGGGGAAGAGGAACAAGAGGAGGAGGAAGGAGGGCCCAAGGTTTCAGGTTATCGCTGGACCCGTAGAGGAAACTCTACTCTGGAGCTGACCTGGGTCAGCGCTACCGCATGCCAGCCAGGGCCACGTCGCGAACCAAGGACGACCCCATAATAGCTCCCAAACCATGATCGGCGGAGAGAGGAAGAGCGGGGGCGACGAGCTGAATTTGGGGGAGAGTTGCCTCTGGGTCAAACACCTCCATTGTGAAGTAGGACTCAGTTCGCCTATGAAGGCGGCCGGGTTCCATGAGAGTAAGGCAATTCCTGCTAGCAGGGAGCGAGAATAGGAGGAACGACGACGACGACGACGAACCGTCGCGCGCGCCTGTTTATCCCAGTCGCCGCTGCGGGCCACAAAATGCTTCGCAGGACGCTAACAAACCGAACCTCACCCTCGATCCTCGGGAAGGCAGGGGAGGGAGGGCAGAAGAGGGAGCGGGGGAGGCCCAAGGGGCAGCCGAGGGCCCCCGAAACACAGCGGGGCTGCCGCTCAAGATTGACACGAGCCAGATACGACGGGTGAAACACACAAGCACACACACACACACACACACACACACACCGCCTAAAAACCCCGAACACGGGCTCTTGGGTTCGAGTTCACCCCGGGACCCCACCCAAGAAGAAGGGAGGCAAACCAACGCCCAAAAAATCATCCTGGCGAAAGACCCAACCATGTGCAGTTGTGAGTACCGTCGCGGAGGGCTCCGTCGTTGTGAATACCGTCGTTGTGGGCACCGCCTTCGGTCAATGCTGGCGTTGTCCTAAGGTACCGAGTCGACGAGAATGCGCTCAACAGTGGACTGAACGTATGCGCTCAACAGTGGACTGAGCTTCAGCATCGTCTAGAGGCGAGGGAAGCCCAAAGTCCTCTGCCTCAAAGCAAAGACACATTGGGTGGCGCGCTGAGGCCATCACATAGAGCACGCAGCCCCACGAATGCTGCACGCCACCGCCCCATTCGACAACCTCGACGAAACCATGCCAGTCGACGCGTCCAGAATCGTCCCACGTAGGCCGCCAAGTCCCACGATGAAATGACCAGAACCGATTACAGTCGCGTGTAATCCTGGGTACTGCGGCCGCCTCATGTCTTCCTGATTCAATAGTAGACGAAGATTTTACTTCCCAGTTGATAGCGCCTGGCCAATCTAGATACGCAGGTCCGGCTTGCGCTCTCACCACCCACGCCTGCAACGCCGGCGCCCGCGCAAAACCTGCCCCGATCACTAGCATCAGCCCCCGCTGACGCGACATCCTCCACGTCCCCCACGGCATCGGGCCCCCCCCGCCGCAGCAGCGCCCGTGCGAGCGAGGGAGGCACCCCTACAAGTGCCCCCGTGAAACCTGCGCCCACGCACATCGACTGAGAGGGGCGATAAGCATGTCAAGGAAATCGACGACGGGGCCCCTGGGAGCCCCCGCGGGAGGGGGGCACTGACATCGAAGAGGGGGGGGGGCAGACGGGGGCGCTGACGTCGCGGGGGGGTCCACTGACATCGAAATGCTGCCAGGATGATCGCAAATATCAAGCTTTCAGAACCCACCGGCGGCGAAAAAAAACAAAGCCCATTTTGCTAAACGCGCCTCCTGTTCTCAACTCTCCGGGGGGTTCTCTCGCCCCAAATTCCGCTCTGTAAATCGGCCCCCCCCTCTCTGGGAAATCGCGGCAGCCCCCGTCGCTGAGGAGGGGGGGGGAGGAGGGGAAGGGCGAGCGAGGAGGGGGCATTTCCGCAAGTTCCGACCCAGAATCCATGTCCCATGCGCGCATCATGCGCAAGATCTGGGCGGTCGAAAATGGGGGGTGGAAAAGGGCGGCGACTACAAATGCTGATGCAGCTGGTTTTTCAACCGCGGCCCAAGGGATGGGAGGTGCCAGAATAAGAAAGGAAGCTGCGTGCGTCAGCATCAGATGTCTCGGGTCGGGCGAAAGGGGGGGGGTAGCAAAGGGGGGGGGCGGTGAGAATCAGCTCGCGTAGCTGATTTTCCCGGCGCCCCCCGGCGCCGCAGGCGGCTATATCTCGAGGAATGGGCCCTTCGGTGAAGGCGAAACCAGCTGCATGCAGCAAATTTCGTAACCCCCCCTTTCCCAATCCCCCCCTTTCGCCCGGCCCGAATGTCGCGCACCTCCCTTTGCTATCCCCCCCCCCGGACGCAAATTCGAGTGAAACTCATTCTGGCGTGCAAGGTCTGCGTTCCTTCCGCTGTCCTCCTCGCCCTCGTCCTCCCGGCCTCCCCCACCCTCCCCCAATTCTCCCCCGTCGTCTCCACCCTCCTCCAGTCCGTCCTCTCCCTCTGGGGCCCTACTCGGCCCGGCTGCGGGCTGCCGCGTTTGCCCTCACTGCGCGATGGTACCCCTCTTTTTCACCTCGTTCAGATACTGCCCCAGCTGGCCCCAATAGTCGGGCGAAGAGAAGTATGCACATGCACCGATCCTGGCCAGGCCTATCCTGTGCCCGGGATCGGTGCATAGGCTTTCCTGGCCAAGGCAGGAGGTCGTATGCACAGATCCTGGGCTCAGGATGGGCCTGGCCAGAATCGGTGCATGCGCATAGTTCTCTTTCCTCGAAATAGCTCCTCACGCGGAAGATCGCGAGAATCGAGATGGTCATGCGCCGATACGCTGCCAGCGCGGGCTGGAACTTGGGGCCAAGCTCGGCGATGATGGCCCAGGAGCTGCGACGAAGCACCACGCGGTCAACTCGCGCTCGGTTTTTCACTTCCTCTCGGGGCCAACCGCGAATCTTCAAAGGGCACGGCCCCCCCCCCCCAGTCACATATATCATATATCATATATTATATCCCGATCGCACCGCCCCCTGCAAAGACCTTGCAAAGACCCTGCAAAGAACCTCTGCAAAGACCCTGCAAAGACCCCCCCTGCAATGCAAGCCTCGACGAGGTCCCCAAGAAGCCCCAACAACCAAACCCGAAGAAGCCACCGGGCAACCCCCACACGAAACTCGAGACTTGCAAACTGCCTCCAACTGGCCCGGCACACGAACGAACCGGATACTATAACCCATAAGCCTATAACCCGCAACTCGGGGACGGTGGCGGGACTTGCCGCGAGCAGATGGGGGCCAAAAATTCATCGCATGGCGACCGTCCTGCAAGTAATTCCCCAGCTGGACCCAATAGCCGCGTAGGCGAGCCAACGCGACAAGCGACCTCACGAGGCGCTCCCACGCCATTCCGGGCAGCCCAAGCCCGCGCGCGCCTCTGCGCCCGGACAATTGCACAACTGAATGAGCTCCGGAAGACGGAAGGAGGGGCAGGGCGGAGGAACGGGCGGAGGAGGAGGAGGGCGAGAGAAGGAGAGAGGAGGAGGAGACGCACGAGTCAGTCAACTCGGGCGGCTGACTGATTGATTGGATTGTCTGATTGAATTTACTAACTGACTGACTGCTCCTCCTCCTCCTCCTCCTCTTCCTCACTCCTCCTCCTCCTCCTCCTCCTCCTCCTCAGTCCTGAGTCCTGGGTCCTCACTCCTCGCTCCTCCTCCCTCCTCCTCCTCCTCCTCCTCCTCCTTCTCCTCCTCCTCCTCCTCCTCCTCCTCCCCCCCCTCCTCCCCCTCCCCCTCCCGATCCTGCGATCCTGGGCGCTGGATCGGATCACGCGCGTCGCCCTGGCCAAGCAAGGAGGGCGCGCACAGGCAGGATGCGCGATGGGCGATGGGATGCAAGGGCCTAGGACGCGCATTTCGAAGCTTTCCGAGCGGGGCGCGGCCAGCGAAAGTGGCGCTGGATGGACCGAGGAGGCAAGGGTGCCAAGGGTACCCAGGGTACCTCTAGAGTAGAGATCGGAACGACTGGGGAGCTCCCCCGCGGCCTCCGCCTGCGCCCCCGCCTCCGCCCCCGCCTCCGCCCCCCCTTCTCCTCCTCGTCATCATCGTCATGAGTCATGAGAATATTATTTCTCCTCCTCCTCCTCCTCCTCCTCCCCCTCCTCCTACCCCCCCTCCCCCCCCTCCTCCTCCTCCGCCCCTTCCACCCTGAGCGTCCCCCCCCGTTCGGCCCAAGCCCAAGCCGCTCAAGCCGCGGCCGCCGCGGCCCAGGCCTGACGGCGCCCGCGCTGGAGGCAGGGCCCCCATCGGGCCGGCGGGCGAGGAGGCTGACGAGGGCCCCTCGCCCCCCCTCCTCCTCCTCTCGCCGCCAACGTCGTCGCCCCCCCCCCTCCTCCGCTGATGGAGGTTTGGACCAAACGGCTTGGAGGTTGAATGGAATTGAGGAGGATTGATACATGTTATTCCCTACCTAGGCTCTGCCTAGAGGCTACAAGGGTTCTTACTCACCCTCTGGGCTTAATGGGCCGGGCCGTGGAAAGCGCCCCGGGCGGTTCCCCCAGCATCCGCCCCGCGGTTCCCCCAGCTACGTCCCCTGAGCTTAGCGTTGCGTATCTCATCTTAGCTTAGCTTATTTCATCTTAGCTTAGTTTAGCTTCATCTTCGCTCAGGTCTATCGTAGCTTAGCTTACCTTCATATTAGCTTCGTTGGGCTTTAGCATAGCAGAGCACATCATAGTATAGCATTGCAGCATAGCGTAGCATAACATAGCGCAACACATCATATCGTAGTTGCGGTGGGCCTTGTCGTGGGCCTCAATGTCCTCGTCCGTGGGCCGAGGGACCCCGCGCTGCGCCCAAAGCTCGCAGCGCTCACACTCTCGAACAAAGAAACGGCTAACACTGGCGCGTTTGGGGTCTCATTTTGACCAGATCCCAACGCACTGTGTCTGGGCCCCCATCGCCACGCCTGGATTCCCTCTTCGCGACTGGATTCCGATCGCCGCGGCTGGATTCCCCGTCAGCGGCCGCGGTGCCCCCCTCGCCACGGCTGGACTTCACAACGTCAGCGACCGGAGTGCCCAGCGGCCGGACTTCACGACGTCAGCGACGCCAGGCCCCGACCGCCCCTCGCCCCCAACGTGGCATAGCGTAGCAGAGCGTCGGGAAGCTGAGCGTAGCATTCCATCGCATAGTCGCGGGGCCGAGCATAGCATAGCATTCGGTCGCACCAGGATGTAGCTGTGTCGGGGGACGGGACATGCGTAGAGTAAGCCATTTGAATCGAGAAAGAAGTTTTTCTCTCGGGAGCGGCCAAGTGGGGGGTGTCCAAGAGGGGGGGTGCAAATCATGACCGGCGGCACGTGCGCGGCCCAGCGGGGGGGCCAGGGACGATGAAACAAAAAAAGGCGGCGTAACATCTGGGGAAATATATATCATGGCCCCCGCCATGATTTCCACCCCCCCCAGTCATCACCCTCCTCTTTTCCGCCCCCGATTCTTTCTCAGTGGCCGTGAAGCCAAGAACGCTTACCGGTCTCGGGCGTCCCGAGGCGAAACGAGCAGCGCGGCCGTGGCCCACAAAAAATTGTCGTTGGCGTAGGCGCTGGCGTCGGCGCTGAAGGTGTAGGCGATGTGCGCTGGCGTAGGCGCAGTCGGTGCCGTCGTAGGCTGGTGTAGGCGCTGGCGTAGGCTCTGTAAGTGCCGTCGTCAGCGCAGGTGCTGGCGCGCCTACTGCCTACTGCCGAGTGTCATCTGCCGCTGCCCACGAGCTGCCCAAGCTGTCACCCTCGGTCGTCTCCACCTTCAAGCTCGGGTTCAGGGCCACCGTGAAGGTCGGGCTGTTCTTGCCCTCGCCATTGACCTTGATGTGGTCCGTAGTCGGGATGGGCGTGGGCTTCGGGACGTGCTCAAAGTTGTTCTTGTAGACGCGCATGCTCGCAATCTTGCGGTCCGACTTGACCACCTTCAGCCTGTCCAGGATGCCCGCTTTCAGCTCCTCGCACGTCACCGTCGACGTCGCAAGGGAGCTGACCAACTCGACCCTATACCACCCCTTGAACTTCTCGTCGAGAATGTAGATGCTCAGGTAGACGCCGTCGCCGAAGTCGCCGTTGCCCGCTCCGCCGCGCATGTCGCACGCGCTGGGGCCGTCGCCCGGCTTCATCTCGAACGAGTCCACCTGCACGTAGACGCCCCACTTCGCCGCGTTCTGGTCGATGGCGCGCCAGTCCTCGCACGGATCTCCATCGCGGCGAACCTGGCCGTTCACGTGCAATGCGCGGTAGAGCGAGATCTGCTTGCCGCAATAGAAGCTGAACTTCTCCTCCAGCTCGTCCTTCAGCATCTGCGCGGTGGGGAAGAGCGGCCACTCCTTTAGAGGGAAGAGAACTATGCACATGCACCGATTCTGGCCAGGCCCATCCTGAGCCCAGGATCGGTGCATACGCCCTCCTACCTTGGCCAGGACGGCATATGCACCGATCCTGGGTCAAGGATGGGCCTTGCCAGGATCAGTGCATGCGCATAGTTCTCTTCGCCCGATCCTTTGCGCCCACAGGCGGCTCGACCGAGAGCCACTGCCCCCCCTCGACGTCCTTCAGGAAGCACTCCACCTTCATCCTGGCCACACCGTTCGCGATGTTGAAGCCGAACGTGTGCTCGGTCGCCCGCATCACGTGTTCTGCCATCGCCGATGCGCGCGGTGCTGGTTCACAGCGGCGCGGCTGGTTGCGCTGGTGATGCGCGCGGTCGCGCGCGAACCTGCAGCGCTGCTGGTCGCGCGAAAAGCTTGGGCCAGAACAGATGCAGGAGGACGGCGGGCGGGGACTTCACTGAGCTCTGCATTTTCGGAGAACGCAGTCGCAGCACGGGACTGGACTCCCATCGCCGCGGCTGGAGTCCTCAACGGCTGGATTATCATCGTCACGGCTATCCTCGCCGCGGCTGGATCCCTCCACGGCTGGGTTCTCCTCGCCACGGCTGGATTCCGCCGCTAGCGCTGCGTAGCATAGCCTTGCGTAGCGCAGCACAGCACAGCGCAGCATGCATAGCCTATAGAATAGCAAAGCACAGCACAGCATAGTAGCATAGCAGCAAAGCAAAGGCAACGGCAAAACAACAGCAGCGACAGCAAAACAAAGCAGCAAAGCAAAAGCAACGCAAAGCAAAGCAAAGCAACAGCAAAAGCAAAAGCAAAGGAAAGACATAGCAAAAACAATGTGCGACAGGTGCCGAGCTAGCCTCGATGGCCAGCCCGGAGCCCCCGCAAGCAGCGCGCAAGGCGCCCCCTGGGTTCGCCCAGCTTAGCTTAGCTAAGCTAAGCTTAGCTTAGCTTAGCTTTCCTTAACTCATCTTAGCTTAGTTTAGCGCAGCTTAGCCAAGCCTAGCTCAGCGTAGCTTAGCGTAACCTAGCTTAGTTTAGCTAAGCTGAGCGCAGCATAGCGCAGCGCAGCATTAGCACAGCATAGCGTAATAGATCATAGCACAGCATAGCAGAGCATAGCATAGATCATGACATAGCATAGCGCAGCATAGCATATGATATTATATCATAGAACAGCAATGCTTAGCATAGCACAGCGCAGCATAGCATAGCACAGCACAACATAGCATAGCATAGCGCAGCCTAACATAGCACAGCCTAGCATAGATGCTTGTAGGTGTAGGTGTAGATGTGGATGTGGGTGTCGATGTAGGTGTAGCTGTAGGTGTAGATGCAGAGGCAGATGTGAGTCTCGCATGCAGGTGTAGATGTAAATGTAGCTGTCGGTGTAGATGTAGATGTTGCTTTCCTAAATGCTCCAACTCCTGGGCAGGGTCGCACTGGGGCAATGACGGAGGAGGGATCGTCGAATAATAAAAAGGAAGAAGGAGGAGGAGAAGGAGGAGAAGGAGGAGGGGGAGGGGCATGAAAAAGGAGAAGGGAGAGGGTGAGGAGGAGGAACCACGGAGGTCCCGACAGAGGACCACCCCGAAGAGGAGGAGGAGGTGAGGGGGGAGGCCTGAGGGAGGACATCATCCACTCGAACATTCGGGCTTCTCCTCGACTCCTCCCCCCTCGTGGAGGGGGGCCCCAGGCAGGGGCAGCCGATCTTATTCGCTCTCCAGACTCTCTTCGCTCGTCGTCTGTCCTGCACCGCGGCCACGGCACCAGCCCACATGTGCACGCACGTGCAGAGCAGACAGCAGTCGCGGAACCTCCTCGGTCCTCCTATCTATTACTAAACTGAACTACGGTGATATACATTATCAGCTAAAGCTGACCACTGACAGGCAGGTGAGAAAAGTCCCCCCCCAAAAAAAAAAAAAAAAACGATCCGAATCGCGCGAGCTGCTGCGTTGCCACAGCCCAGCCTCGAGCCAGGGTGAGGGTGACGGCGCGGTCTAGGCCGTCCCCTAGCTTCCATG